GCTTTATGACAGATAACCAAGCGCCTGGGGTCTTGCAAACAAGCCAAGGCGACTCATTGTCCTGCATACGGTGATGAAATAAAGAAGTTAAGATGCAAACATGTGCTTCCATTGAGCAACCGTCTGGAAGGAATGAAAATGTGTTTTCCTCAAGGTGCCCAAGATAGTCACGTACCAGGAAGTAGCTGCCGGACATAAAAAAAGTATATAAATAAAACGACTGGTACAAATTGGGGACTGCAGTCTTGTATGTCCGTGTGTGTGTGTCTGTGTGTTTCTTTCTGTGTCCATCCCCCGTTCTGCAACGGGCCGCGACAACTGGCGCAGCGAGCAGGGTCTGTGTCGTTTAGGACGGAGGGACCAAAGAGGCACCCCTTTGGCAACAGGTAAGCGGCAACCAACAGGGGACTCTCGGGAAAATATGGGGAATTCCCCCTCAGCAGCAGAGCGCAAATATCGAAAGTTAATTCAAGGACTTTCAAGCTCTGTGGGAGTAGAAGTAAAAGAAAATACCTTAAGACAATTATTCATGCTAGTACAACAACATTGTTATTGGTTTCAATGTCAGTCACAGGTGCAGTTAAATCTCCATGGTTGGCAACAAGTTATTAAAGCTTTTCGCCATGCCCATCAGCAAGGCGAAACTATTGATTTAAAGATTTGGACCGTCTGCAATGCGATAACTCAGGCTTTACGCTTGCTGCAGACAGACTCAGAAAAGGCTTATGCAGGTGAAGATCCGAAAAGGAACCCTTGCCATCTCGTGCCCCGTCCCCTGACGAATTGAGAGATGAGGGAGCGCCAGAGCCACCAGATGGGGACTCTGACCCTTCGGGTGAGCTGCCTACTTGGGCAGAAATACAAGAATTAATTTCCTTGCTTAGAAGGAGTAAGATGGCCGCCAGTCCTCCGCCTCCGTCCTTCATTTCGGCTTACCCAGTCCATCCCTCAGACCCTTCGAAACCAGGGGAACGAGTTTTTCAAATTCCTTTTGCACAACAACAACCCCCTGGCCCTACGGAGGAACAACTTACTGGGACAGGGCAGTATACTACTCTGGAGGCTCAAGCAGCCCTGGGTGACCTAGCCTTGGTGTTCACAAGTTATCTACACAGGTCTTTGGACCTTTGCCTGCGGGGAAGGTTGGGCTGGTTATTGGACACAGCAGCTGTACGTGAAAGGAATATTTGTGCATGTGGGAGTCATTGACTCAGATTTTACTGGTGAAATTCAGCTTATGGTCTCTGTTTCCCATACTACTCAAGTCTTTGCAGGCACTCGTGTAGCTCAGCTCTTGCTCCTACCGTATGTCTCTTTTCCTACTCGTAAAGCTGAA